GACTAAATTATAAAAGGTTATTATTTTTTTAAGATTTTATTTATTCGAGAGAACGAGAATGAGCAGGGAGGAGGGGCAGAAGGAGAGAGAGAGAGAGAAGCAGACTCCCTGCTGAGCAGGGATTCCTGACATGGGGCTCGATCCCGGGATCTGGAGATCATCACCTGGGCCGAAGGCAGACGCTTAAGTGACTGAGCCACCCAGGCACCCCAGGTTATTAATTTGACATGTGTTCTTTAGTCAAAGCATGGGGTAGGGTACTGGAATTAGTAAGAAAGTTTTTAGTAGGGAAGAATTTCTTAGATTCTTTTTTTTCATTTCTCTTCCACAGAACCTTAGATAGCAGATGCCTTTCTATTAATTTTAAAGCCTTTGAATCTATTCTTCATTAATCATATATTATGTTAGAAGTTTGAAGGTAGATACTTATATTAAACACAGAATCTTGGTGCTTTTGTTCCCCCCCGCCCCCGCCCATGGCATTGACGCCATAATTGCCAGTCTTTTTATTTTTTTTAAATATTTTATTTATTTGAGAAAGAGAGCGAGAGAAAGAGAGCATGTGAGCAGGGGGAGGAGCAGAGGTAGTGGGTTAAGCCGACTCCATGCTGAGCATGGAACCCCATGTGGGGCTCCCATCACAGGATCCCAATATCATGACCTGAGCTGAAACCAAGAGTTTGATGCATAATTGACTGAGCCACCCAGGTGCCACTTTAATTGCCAGTCTTTTTTTTTTTTTTTTTTAAAGATTTTATTTGAGAGAGAGAGCACGAGCAGGGGGAAGGGATAGAGGGAGAGGGAGAAGCAGACTCCTTGCTGAGCGGTGAGTCCGATGCGGGACTTGATCCCAGAACCCTGGGATCATGACCTGGGTCGAAGACAGACGTTTAACTGACAGAGTCATCCACGTGCCCTAATTGCCAGTCTTTTAATGAGCCTTGAATTTAAACTTTAAAAATTTGTTGTTATGGAACTCTATGTGCATAGTAACAAAAATGTTAAACCTTAAACCTTAAAGTATATGACATCATAATGAAATTCAAATAATATAAGGTATGAGAGGGATAGTCACCTCCTGGTCCCAGTCCCACGGTCCAGTTTCCTAGTTCTTCTGCTAGTTATCTCTCTATCTGAGAGTAATGGGTACTAAACTCTATTTCTTAATTTTGATTTGCCCATTTTAACAGTCTCTGTTGATGCTTTCACATGAAATATATTAAATTTCTGTAGTTGACATATTTTTCCATTATCTGTTATTCACGTTAGTTTTAGTTCTTCTATTGGTAAACTTTACATCATAAACTTTATATAATATACTTAAACCTTTACTTTTTGATCTGTCACTTATGTATTGTTGAGGTTTATAGCATTTACATTTGTGTTTGCTAGCTATAATTTGGTCTGAGCTTTGCCTGTAGTAGATATCTAAGACAGAGGCCTCCTGTGGCACATCCAGCCCATAGATGATTTGACTTGGTTCACATAGTATGTTGTTTCTGAGTTAGTTGGTAATTTTTCATAATTGGGAGGTTTCACATAAAAATCCAGATATTAGCTTCTCTTAAAAACAGATGACTCAAACACTTGGCATATATTCCCTTAGGTGCATTCACTAGCTGAGAGTAACAGCTTTCTCCTTCAATGGAGCACATGTTCTTCCATTCATCATAGTCTTCACCTGGCCCATTTCATCCATTTACACTTCCTGTCTAGCCCTTGTTGGTCTTTGAGTTTTATAATCCTGGCTCTATTGAAAATATAAAAGCAGTATGTATAGTACTGTGAATGTTTAAGTAGAACATTTGGATCTGTAAAGCAGTAGATATAATCCTGTATGAAGTCTGTGCTGCTGGAGAAATAAGTATTACCACAAACAACAAAAATCTGAGAAGTGGAAAGTAAAGGCGGCAGGATATTATAATTGCTACTTTAAAAACTGTAATAATATGCTTTCACTTTCTATTTCAGACCATTTAACCTTATTATCATACTATTTTTTAAAAAGGTAAATCAGTTTCTTCTTGAAGACATCATTCTTGGAGCCCTCTGACTTCTGTGCTAATATGAACCGTTCGTTTCCTCCCTTCCATCCCTTCTTCTCTCCCACCCTCCCTTCTTTCCTTCCTTTTATTCAGCAAATAGTTATTAAGCTCCTCCTGTGTACCTGGCACTGTTCTAGGCACTTCTGATAACAGCAGGTAAACAAGGCTGTATGTTCTATGGAGCTCAGGTTATAGTGGAGGAGAGGCACAATAAACAAAATGCATATTAGAAAAAGAAAACACGGGTGGAAAAGAAAGACAGGATAGGCTGCTAAGGGGAAGTGAGACTGAGCAGAAACCTAAGTGAAGTGAGGGAGTAACCTCTATGAGGAGTTTTCCAGCAAGTACAAAGACACAGGGGTGAGATTAGCTTGGTATATTCAAGGAGCTGCAAGAATGCCAGTGTGACTAGAGCCGAGAGAGCACCGAAGAGAAGGAGGGCAGTTAGAGGGAGGCCATGGGGAGAAGTCCAGATCATATTCAGGGAGCTGTGATGCTTTTTGATCAGGACAGTGGCACAATCACAGCCCAGTCTGGCTGCTCTCTGTGAGGAATAGAATAGCTGGACCACTTAAGAGGCTGATGGAGTAGTCTAAGTGAGAAGTAATAATGGCTTGACTAGAGGGGTGGTGGTAGAAATGGTGAGAAATGCTCTGATTTAGAATGTGCCTTGCAGTAGAACTGATGGTACTTTCTAATGGGGTAAGTTGTAGACTAAGAGGGAGAGAGTCAGGATAACACATAGGCTTTCAGTCTGAGATCAAGAAGACCAGAGAGGAGCAGGCGTGGAGGCTGGAAATCAGGAGTGATTTTGGCTGTGGGAATGGGAGATTATTTGATGTCCAGGGCAGGCTCTGAGTTTGGTTGTCAGAGAGGAGAGGTTGAAGTGGCGATCTTCTTGGGAGTGGTCAGCACACCAGGTGATATTTAAAGTTATGATGGGATCGTGTAAGTGAGCATAGACAGGAGAGAGCAGATCTGCGGTCTGAACCCTGGGGGGCTCAGACATTCGGAAGTCAAGAAGAAGAGGGTCCAGCAAAGGAAACAAAAGGAACAATTTTTGAGGCAGAAGAAAAATCCGGGGAGAATGGTGTCCCAGGAGCCAAGTGAAGAAAGCATTTCAAGGAGGAAAAGATGAGTGGAATGTTGAGGGAATGATGAACTGACCATTGGCAACCACCATAAGCTGTTGTAGTTTTAAGTCAGCTACACATCTGTCTTTCTTTTCAGTACACTCCTGGCTTAGGTCCCTTTCATCTTGGGCTCCCTCTTCCCCTTTTTTGGATTCCTTGTTTTGTTGGAATACATCCTCAGATTCTTTTTTTTTAATTTTATTTATTAGAGACAGCGAGATAGGGAACACAAGCAGGGGGAGTGGGAGAGGGAGAAGCAGGCCCCCCGCTGAGCAAGGAGCCCGATGCGGGGCTCAATCCCAGGACCCTGGGATCATGACCAGAGCTGAAGGCAGATGCTTAAGGACTGAGCCACCCAGGCGCCCCACATTCTCAGATTCTTTCTGGAAGAGTCATTTTGCTTGTCTGAAAATGTCCTAAAACCCTGGCAGTGGGACCCAGGAATCTGGCTCTCCCGGGCAGTTTTACGTGCACTGTAAGGTTTGAGAATCATCCCTTTAGAGAATATTTTTCTATCTTCATCCTGGAAGCAAGACAGGTCTGCTGCTTTTGTTGGTTGCACAGTAATTCTGTAGATGTATTCATCAGTCTCACACCTTGATTTTGACACCCTTTACTTACTGGAGCACGCATAAGGGGCTGTGAAAATCCAAGCTTTGACTCCTTCCTCTTTGTTTTATCTAACTTGTCAGCTCCTCTGTCTTCCAGAAATTCATGGCACTTCTTAGTCCAGTAATACACGACTCTGCCATTCTCCTCACTTGCATGGGACAGTTCTGTGTCAGACCTGTTTGCTGCCATTTTGTGTCTATATGTGTATTTTTTAAATTGGGGGAAGAGAGGAGCAGAAGCCTTGACCCAGGTTGCCATCTTGAACTGGAAACCTCCTTTAATCTTTATTCGTTAGTTTTTTGCACATCCTTGGCAAAGCAAGTTGGTACTTTTTAACATTTCACTTTGAAATAATTTCAGATTTGTAGAAAGGTTGTAAGAGTAGAGAACCCCCCTAACATGTTTCACCTAGATTCACTAGTCGTTAGCGTTCTGCACCGCTTGCCCCCTCTTCTCTATGCATACCCCTCGTTCTTAGTACTTTCTCAACCATTCAAGCGTTCGTTGCAGATATCTTGTCCCTTTTCCCCTAAATACTCCGTTCTCTCACATAACCACCGTTTAGTTGTCAAGTTCATGAAATTCAACATAAAAGAATATCTGGAGTACAGTCCATATTCACATTTTGCCATTTGCTCCAGTAATGTTCTTCATGCAGTTTTTCCCCCCAGATTTGGAATGAAGTCCAAGATCACGCATTGCATTTTAGCTGTCAAGTCTCTTTAGTCTTCTTTAATCTCAAGCGGTTAGTTCCTCAGCCTTTTTGTCTTTAATGATGTTGACATTGTTGAATATAGGCCATTTGTTTTATAGTATGTTCTTCAAATTGGGTTTGTCTCTTGTTTGATTAGATTCAGTTATGTTTCTGGCAGAACACCTCAGAGGTGAGCTTGTGTGCCCCTCGGTGCATCACATCAGCATGCATATGCTGTCAGGTTGTTCTGTTACTGGTGATACTAACTTAGATCACTTGATAAAGGTGGTGTCCTCTAGATTTCTTCACTGCTAAGTTATCGTTTCCCCTTTGAAATTAATCCACTGTGGAAGTCCTTTGAGACCGTGTAAGTATTCTTTTCCTCTTCAAATTGTCAACTGCTAGTTTTAGCAGCCACTGAAGATTCTGGCCTGAATCAGTTATTACTATAATTGTTGCCGAATAAGGATCTTCTAATTCTTATTTCTTCTGCTTTTAGTAATTGACATTCTACTGTAAGAAAGAGCTTTTCCTTCTTATTATATCAGTATGAACTGATGGATTCTTATTTTATTCAATGAGTTTTAATCAATCTGCTGTGTATTCATTTTGATGCTCAAATTGTCTTCGATTTGGCCAGTGGGAGCCCCTTCAGGCTATCTCCCATGTGCTTTGACACACCCTCATCGTGTTCTTGGCACTTCTACTTTCTGGCATAACAGGATATTCTAGGCTCATCTTGACCAGACTCTGGGATCAGCCATCTCTCCAAGGAGCCCTCGTTCCTTTTAATGGGAATTGGTATTTAGAAACCAGGTTCTGGATGACAAGTTGATTCTTGAGTGCTCGGTCTGCTTTTGGCTTGTCATGTGTGTTCACCGCATTTATTTTTAGCCTTTGATAGTGGGTGGAGAGAGCCCCAAAGAACATAGTATACAAATTCTATTGCCTTTAGTGGCTCCCTGTGTTTTCTTTATCTTCATTGTTCCTTTCTGTTTTTTTGAGATTTATAGACCCTGGTCATAAAGAAAGCACTTACCTGTGCGCATGTGTTATGTGTGTGTGTATGCAAAGGGGAATGTTGATAGGAATGTATCTCCCTGTAGAGAGATACTGGTTTTTATTTTTTTTAAGAATTGTATCAAAGTGATTTACTTTTTTATATTTATATTTTTCACTAACAGCTTCTCTGTAGTAATGCAGCTTTTGTTAGATGTGACATTATTTTTTCAGATAAAATGACGTCAGGTGGAATTTTAAAGTTAAAAATCTGTAGTGTATCTGTTAGCATAAAAGCGAAATATGATCCTTTGGTAAATTAAATTGGAAAAATTGTTTCTGTTTGCCATTTTAAGAATTTAGTTGGGCCAAACGTTTTATACATATGTGTACACATACATACATACGCATAAACTTGGAAAATTTCTTTTATAGGAAAGGAAATTGAGGTTTAAAGGGGTCCAGTCCAACTCACGTAGCTAGTCATTGTCAAAGGGGAGATATAAACAAGGCTCTGTCTATTTGTATGAGAACTGCCAATCATTCTATAGCATTGTTCTTCAGAACTCTCAAAAGTCTACAGTCAAGGGGTTGCTGTGCTCTTCCCATACAGCAGCTTAAGGCCAGGAGGTAGAAGATGGTGAGGATGGAGAACAGTTGCAAGTGATATCTGCTAGCATGCAAAAATAAGAACAGAAAATGGGCCAAGAAGAGGATCCCTTATAGCCAGGCAGAAATGTCTGTTAGAATATGCAGGAAAGAATCACAGCATCATAGGACTTGAGTGAATGTGAGCCCAGGGGAAGATTAGTAGCAGTGATTTTATCAGAAGTGAGTCATCTGACAGCTCTAATCAGAATCACCCCCTTTATTATAGCTGAGGTCATCCATGTGCTTTCTCTGATGTGCCTGTTTCAAGAAGAGATTGATTCCAGACAAGTGAAACATACCTGAAGATTCTGGCCTGAAACATTATAATTGACCTGACAAGAAAGTGAGCTTCAAATTTTTCAACTCGGTGGTGGTGGTGGTGGTAATGTTAGAAGTACTTAACATTTACATTGTTTTCATTCTACAGCATTACTTTCCAAACTAATTCCAAACCAGTTCCTAGAGGGGAAGGAAATTAAAAAACATGCCTCCAGGAATCTTGAGGCATCACCCGAAGTGATCTGGGAGTCATTTCGTTTTCTAAATCTCCTGTTTTCTCTTTAGGCAGAGCTTTTGTTAATTTCCGTATCTGTTTTAATTCAAAAATAAATGATTTTACTGGCTAAGTATCTCCTTACTCCCACCCTACATCTCCAAGTAGAATCGACAGTCTGGGAAGGTGGTGCTTGTTGTCCTGTGACTTGGCAGTCGGTCTCCAGCCTCCTTACGCAGAGCGGGCGCCCAGTGTGAGTGGCATGGTCTCCCTGGGTCTCTGCTGCTGCACAAGCTCCTCTAGAGGCTTGACGTGCCACCTAAGGGCTGGCCACCTGCCTGCTGACTTTCCCACATGTTCCCACTCCCTTCTTCCCTTGTTCCTCTGTCCTCCCAGGTATGGAGTCCCTATTTATCACACTGTCGTGGTTTCTTTCTTGCACTTGATTGGCTTGACTTTTTAAGGGCTTGGTCTCTTGATGTGTCCAACAGTTTTATTTTTGGATTTTCTTTTTTTGTCCTACCAAGGAAATGTAACCAAATATATCTATCTGATTCTAGCAGGTACATATATTTTCCTTGTGCTGCTGCTTAATTTTATTTATGTCACAGTTGCTGTATGTATAGGACTGGACAAATGGCAGACCTAGCCTGAATATCATTTGTTGCCAGGCTCTTCTGGCACTGAGTCAGTGTGAAGGCCCAGTTCTGTGTGTGTGGAGCTGGGGCGGGGGAGGGCAAAGTGTCATTTCTGTCTCTTGGGCGGAAGGAAACCTCAGGCCAGCAGGTATGCAGACTAACTCTAGGTGGTGAGTGCGTGCCAGCTTTATGGCTCTTCTATATATTGTGTTTACTAGTTACACCTGGTTGATTTCCAGTTTTTGTTACCATCTTGATAAGAGTTCCATGCTTTTTGGTAATTTAACAGCAGTGAGGATTTCCTCTGTAAAGTATTTTTACATCTACATCTTCTATTAACAAGGATCGTTGCTGATTTACTGATACTGAAGACTTGGTTCATGTTCAGCCCCCAAGTCTTTTGTTGAGGATGTCATTTGTGTCCATCCTGCTTCCTCTTGAAACCCTGTTGTCCACCTTTAACTGGTCTAATCTTGCTTGCCCTGTGTTTCCCCACTGTCCCTCAGCAGAACCATCTTTTGTACCAAATGCAGTTACATCCTATCCTTTGAATGACATCCACTACAAAAATTGCTTTTTGCATAGGTCTTGCGGATTTTAAAACCTTTTTTTTTTTTTTGAAACTAAAGTGTCTTTGTATCTTCATAACTATTTTGTGAGATAGGTAGCATGGAAGGTAGTTATTACCAATTTTATGAATGAAGAAGGAAGATATCAGTGAACATGACTTGCAGCCTTGTGGCAAAGCCAGGACTTGACTAAGTCCTGGGGTTCCAGTCCCTAGCAGTTTCTAGAAACATTTTATGAAAGACTTCTAGTTTTCCCAGAATTGGGAGAATTTTATTATGTGGGGTGAATTGTCTACAACGATAGCTCGAAAATTAGGATTTTTTTTTTAAGTCTTAAATTCAAGGAAAAAAAGAGTGGATTTTCTGAATTTCCAAATGTTGCTGGTTCCTATTTTAAACAGATTACAGATGTTTACTTCCTAAGAACAAAGCAGACTGAATCAGAGAAGATAGTGGCTAAGTTTTCATTTTTCTCTTTATTTTTAGGGGTAGTATTTTGCTCCTCCTTGTTGAAGTATTTTGAGAAGGTCATGGGTGAAATGATCCTACCTTATGGTTCTTAGTAGGAATTTTTGTGTCCCATGAGGATTCTTAAAAGTAGTAATGGACATTCTCTAGCTATTGTGTGGGTTTTTAAAACCCGCAATAGAAATGATTTATTTTTATTGGCTGGAGTTTAATGACTCTGATTAGAAGCCCTGGTTGGCAGCAGATGGGCATGACCAATTAATTATTCTTGAAATTTTTATTTGTTTGTAGACACAGTCCACAAGGAGAGAAAATCAAGTGAATGGTCTGGAAGGCTCCTCATACTTGGAGTCTGAGGTTGTGCTGCAGTGATGGAGGATGTCCACCAGGTGGCATCAAGGATTTGCTTAACTGTTGGCGCCCCAGCTAACCTTGGAAGCCCATTTAAACTTCTACCCCCCTTGTGAACTATGGCTCAGCTGCATCTGTGCCCTCAGTTCTGGTCCCTCGCTTCCCTTAGTGCTGTCTTGTGCTCTGTATTGGCATCTGACCACATTCTGCCTCCCGTGAAAGCAGTGGGGGTTGACTCCTCTAGGTGGGAAGCTTCCTGAGAACAGACACTAGGGCATTCACTGTAAAGCTTGCTCCTTTCTGTGTTTCCAGCAGTGCCAGCCATAGCCCCTCTGAGTTGCATTGTTGCATTAACCTCTGTTGGTGATCTGTGGGCTAATTGTGGACCTCCGTAGAGTTTACCTTCAGTGTTTTTTGCCTTGAAGAGAGTACGTTCTTTTTCCCAGCTGCATAAATGAGTTGTTGGAGGGCTGTAGGGTTTTGTGCTTATAGATTGTGTACTTTCATAAACTTTACTCTCAAGTGAGCCCTTCACTAACTTGAGAGATAGTAGTTACAGAAATCAGCCCTGTAGATGGGGCTTCTCTGCAGGCCCGCAGTCGGTCTTGGCAGTGGAACCTCCGTGCGTGCCAGACAGCAGATAGCCATGGCATTCTTAGGCTGTGTGCCATGTAGGTAGAAGCTGGAGAAAAGCAGGAAAGAATCCTTGCAGCTCTCATCCCTCAGCCTTATCTGGGCTCCCAGCATGGCCTCCGGCAGCAGGCAAGTTTGAGCAGGAGCAAATGCCCTCTCGGACCCAGGAAGGGCCCCGGAGGGGTAGTAGTACACATGCATATTGTAGTTGGATTGTATCATTTTATTGGAGACCATTAAGGAAATGAATGTTCAGTTTTCCTTTTTCAGAAAACAGATACGGCTTAAAAGCCAATTGGAAGGAAATTTGAAAAGGTTCCATAATAATGTTATTTCATTATTAGAGCTGACCTACACAGTCAGGCAAGTTGTGTGCAGGCCTGACCCTGGCTTCTCTACTGTATGGATCCTTTCCAGAGTGTTTGGTTTGCGGACACATTCGAAGTTCTATGTCTGATAATAGGCCCAAGAGTGTGCAAAACTCTAAGTAAGCAGCATTTACATTTACTTAATTTAATTTCAGAAATGAGCCACAGTCTAGGTGAAACTGGAGCTCTTAATACCAGTGTAGTGTCTGGCTGCTTTTCTGAGAGCTATTTGTTTAGCTCCCTAGTGAGTTTGATAAACTAAGGCCATATTTTTATTTCTCGAGCTGGGAGTTACCAAGCTGGCAGTTTTGACCTTTGAATGTTTAGAGCACCAGAAGTTCTGATTATGTGATGACGAGAAAATCACAGCTTTTCTTGCTTGTTAAAAACCCAGGGCATTCCTTTGCCCTTTGTCCTACAAACAGAGCAGAGGATGGGACCTCTACTCTTTGGGGTGGCATTGTTTTAAAGAATGTGATCAGAATCTACCTGTTAGATGCTCATCTTCTCTGTGAACCTTGAATTTAGATTCATTGGTGGGGTAACTTATAAATGCCTTTGCAGAAATGTGTTGAAAATCTTTTCAGGAGAAATTTGGGAACTGCTAATGTGGCTGCTTTGTTTTTAGGTGATCGGTGAGGACAACGTGGCTGTCCCCTCACACCTCTATAAGGTGATCCTGGCCCGCAGAAGCCCAGTGTCTACTGAACCGCTGGCGCTAGGGGCCTTTGTGGTGCCCAATGATGCCATTGGCTTCCAACCGCAGTTAAGTGAATTCCAAGTGAGCCTTCAGGACCTGGAGAAGTTATCAGGACTGGTGTTTTTTCCTCATTTGGATAGAACTAGTGGTATCAGGAATATCTGCTCTGTGGACACCTGTAAGCTCCTGGATTTCCAGGAGTTCACTCTGTACCTGAGCACAAGAAAGATTGAGGGGGCCCGATCAGTACTCAGACTGGAAAAGGTCATGGAAAATTTGAAGAACGCAGGGATTGAACCAGATGATTACTTCATGAACCGCTATAAGAAGAAGCTAGAAGAACTCAAAGCTAAGGAGCAGTCAGGAATCCTGGAGAGAAAGCCATCTTAGTTTTTTTCCTCAGAAGATGTGTGAGAGCATCTATAATGAAGCAGGTGTGTCCTCTTCAGGCTAATGTGTTTTAGTGGCTTTGCTTTAAAGAAATGATGAAATCCTAAATTTCAGACTAAATTTCTCCCCAAAAGATGAAAGATCTAAAAAATTCTGTCAGTTTTTTATTTGACATGGGAACTCATTATTAAGGAAACTGTAAGACCTACAGATTGGATGCTGATCTTGTGTCAGGTTCACAGAGGACTCTGACCACAAGATGACGCTGTTTTTGTCTCTCTCTGGATGTTCGTGTGTGAAGGCATTTTGTTTTCGTGCCCCTGAATCATGCACTGTCTTTGATGTATCTGCTCAGTTTTCTTGGAGCCCAGTGTTGTATGGGACCCTAGTTGGTCTTGGAGGTGGCTTTTAGATATCCTCTGTGTGCTGTCCTGTCCACATGTATTACTGTGTTACATATTCGTTTCTTGCTCCTTCTCTGACAGGCCTGCTGGCCCTCCATTTCTGTCCTATAGAAGCCCTCAGCAACATTTTCTGCTCACCTAGTGTGTTCTGTATACTAAGCTCAGTGCTTTACAAGTATTATCCTACAGCAACTCTCTGAGGTAAATACCACTGTCCTCATTTTACACGTGAGGAAATGAAGCCTTAGGGAGTTTAAGTATTTTGTCCAGGGTTCACCTTTCTGAAGAAGTAACCCACAGAGATAGGAGGCATGTGGGGCCAAGAAGAAAGACAGCATGACGTAGATTGAAATAATACAGAGGCTTTTGACTTAGAAATGTATACACATAGGTATTGGTGATTCTGGGCCCCGCTTGCTAAGAGGGGTCTGGTTTCTTGTCTGCCATCGAGCCAAAGGGTCTTGAGTATCCTCTGACTTGAACCCTCCTTGTCTCTTTGGGAAGAAACAATCACAGGTGTTTGAAAGTTAGAGGGCATTGCTTTGTGGGGTTTATCAGAGCCCCTACTTGCCTCTAGGGATGCAGTTCTTTTAGTGACCGGATGGTGCCAAATTGCTATGTTCTTTGCTTTCCAGGTGAGCAATTTGTTCCAAAGGTTAAGGGACCTAAGAAGGGTCTGTGTCCACAGCTTCACCAGCTCATGATTTGCTTCCCTCTCGGGCCTGCTTGCCTACCTGGGTAGCACAGGGCAGGTGGTGCTTTGGGCCAAAGACTCAGACAATTCTGATTATCTCTAAGGGAAACAGCAGCTGTTTTTCTGAGCCAGATCTCTAGATTGGGGTTTACACGGAATTCTTTCAAGGGCTACCATAAGTAAAGGCAGCGAAATACCTTAAAATAGGGCCCAGGAGCTTGTCTAAACGTATTCTAGCTCTGCCGTCTTTCCAAGTGGTATTACAAGAACAGTTTTTGTGGTGTTTTGTGTGTTTGTCTCTAACAGAAATGCCAAGGCTTTAAGATAAAGGTAGGTTGATAATGATTGACTTTGTTCTGCTCCTTTATTTGGATAAAAAAGAAAGAAGTTGGGGGGTCAGAACACAGTAGCCTGATTAATACCAGTCTGTTTTATCACACTGTTTGCCATTAGCTTATGCCAGTCCTCTTCTTGGGGATAAAGAGCCAAAATGTCACTGTGACCAAAAAATCTGTTACTTTCTCTCATTGGAGAGGTGATGGTGGGGCCTCCTGGTGTGGTGTTTCTCCCAGAGCCTGAGGGGGTGGCTCTGTGGGAGAAGTCCTGGGTGCTTGGCGTGCATCTCTAGAGGTGAGCCCCCATCTCCTTTCCCCCACATTTGGCTCCGTGTCCTGTTCTGGCCTGAATTTTCTTCAGCCTTGGACTTATTTCCCATGCTCTTCTCACTCCTGCCCCTCCACCTAGATGGTGGAGGATCTTGATATTTAGATAATAAATTGAAGTACCTTAGGTTTTTAGTATAAAAAGTGCTACCTGGTAATTGTGAAAAATAGAGATCCATGCTTATAATAAAAGCGGTCTCCCAGTCTTCATTTTAACATGGAGGAGTTGTGTTGGTCTACAGGAGTGATGCTTGACTTGTCTGAACACTTAAGAGTCCTGAGAACAAACTGAAATGTAAATACTCGGTACAGCTTAGAATTTTCCCCAGGATCAAATCACTTCAGCCTCCCCTGGTAGGATTGCTGATTATTTGGACTCGGATGCAGGAGATCCCTAGGCCACTCCCCAGCACGGGGCTGTCCCCTGATCGAATAAGCTCCTCTATACCCACCTGAGCCAGTTAGCCTCCAGTTGGTCCTTCCTTGGAGCCAGCCACATTATCAGGCCAGATTCTCTGCCTTCTGTCCAGTGATGCTCAGGGAGTATCTTGGCCAAGGGGAAGGCTGTAGCAATCTTCATGGGCTCTGCTGCCAGAAGCCCTATCTGTGGGTGAGGGTTAGTCTCTGATCTCTGCACCCCCAGTGACATCTTTATTTGAGATTCCAGGCTCTTGGTCTCTGGATTGAGAATATTTGACCAATGTCGTATGCGGCAGAGATAGGACAGGTGTCCCAGTCCGTTACTGCCGGCTAGCATTGCTGCCTTGCACCTTGACCTTCAAACAACTGAAAACCTCTGCCCTTCCATCAGGCCTCTGAAGCACCCAGAGGAGAGACATAGTGTGGTCTTGAAGGAGCACCCCTGCAGGGCGGGGCTCAGCCTGGAGCAGCCCCACTCCCGGAATGACCCTGCCTCATCCCTGTGAACACGGCATTGTCACTCAGATCAGCAGCCCATCGCTGAAGCTGTCCCTGCCCAGTCCTTCACAGCTGCACCTGTGTGCCCTTACGTCTTCTGGGCACACTGCATTGTCCTCCTTCATTCTTCCGGAACTGGTCAAGGTCGGGGGGCTCACAGCTGGCGTGGCACTCTTGCTCCTGCCTGCCTCCACGCCCCACCTCATTCCGCTTGCCTTTCTGGATGTTGTTCATGGAGTTTATCCATCCGGGGATCCAGGGCTGCCTTTTCCAGGCCCCAGCCTCTCCTCCAGGGACCGACCCTTAGGTCATTAGAGTGGGCCAGGTACACGAACCAAACTTCAATGTGGACCCTGTGCGGTTTGGGGTGTGCAGTGGGGATGTGGTGGATGGGCTTCCCTTTTAGTGTTCCTGGACATGCCATTATGGCCTAGGGGCTGGTCTGGGCCTGAGTGCAGAGTACCTCTAGGGGTCACTGTGGTCTGATGCCACACTGCAAGACTCAAGAGTTTGCTGTGACACTGTCCAATTCAGAACCTCCAGCTGTGTAAGCCGCGGAGGGTGCAGTTGGCTTCGGACCCCAGGCTCCAGGCTCTCAGGCCAGATGGAACAGCAGAGGCTGTCTTGTCCAGTGGGCCTCATGTTTGGCTCATTATTAAGCCTAGCTGGCTTAATTTTCCCCAACTTTATTTTGAAAAATGTCCTTACAGACAAGTTGAAGGGAGAATTAAGAATACCCTCTCCTCTCAATATTTTGTCCCATTTGCTTTCTCTTTTTCTTGAACCATTTAAAGGTAATTCATTGGTTTTAAAAAAAAAGTTGTGGACATGACACTTTATTCTTTAATACTTTGGCCTGTATCACCTAAGAATAAAGACATTCCCCTATATTTCCAGAATACTGTTACCACATCTAAGAAAATTATCAAGAATTCAGCATCATCTAATGAACAATGTCTTAAGGTTTGCCTAGACTTTCCCCAAAAATCTTATACTTTTTTTGAATATCCAGGTCTCAGCCAAGGTTTGTGCCTTGTATCTTGTCATGTCTGGTCTCTGTTAATCTAGAACAGTCTGCCTGGTAGGCTTCAAAAAATACAGAGGTTCTCCAACCCCACCCTTGAAGATTTTGACTCAGTAGGTCAGATGTGAGGCTGAAATACATACTTTTTAAACAAGCAACACTGCTGATTCTGATGAGCCTCCAGGGTTTGGAGCTGGACCAAGCCCCAATTTGCTGCCACTCTCCACCAACACATATGTTCCCTAGACAGGAGTCCCCTGGAAAGGTGGGCTTTGAGCTCCTGAATATCAAGGGAGAACTTTCTTCCACCGCTTTGGGCCCCCAGGTACCCACTTTCCTTTATTATTGAGCTTCATAACATTAAGCTGAAACTTTCTCTGCAACTCACTCATCAGTGACAGGCCCTAATGGCCATCCCAGGCTACAAAGAGCTGGCTGGCACCTGCTTTCACCTGATAGTGCTTTAGAGATAGGAAGCTCATAAAGACATCAGGGCATCTCACTTAATGCTCAGGCATTCATGGATTTCAGACCTGCCACCATCATGATGTTATGTGGCCTTTATGGTGTGGCAGCCACGTCTGGGCAAAGCCTCAGATGCAGTGATAGCAGTGCTGAATTGAGTGCTCCCTTACTGGGGACACTCCACTATCTCACTGTACTGTTGATCCACGTGGAACTTGGTCTGGCTGACTGCTCCAGGTCATTTTCACGTGGTCTACTGTCAGGTCTCTTTCCCATCATGCACTCACACAGTCAATATTTGGAACACAAATGTGGGGTTATGTGTATGCCCTACTGTTAAGATTTCATTTTATTATAGTTTCTACCCATCTTACATGAGTTCACATTCTTGATGATCCTGATTTGGTCTTCTGTCCCCCAGCTTCGAGATTGCAAGATCAGATAAACAAGGCTTCAACGTGTCTGTTAAAAACATTGAATGAGACAGAGCCATGGAAGAGCCCTTTGGTAAAAAATTCATTTTATGTGGCAACCTGCCTCACACACTCACCCAACAAGATTCATGTGATAATAATGTGCTCTGATACTTTCTAAGTTCAATTCTTTTCTAGTTCTTTTTAAAAAAGGAAACAACACTGAATTGGTTGCACAATGCAAAAATAAGTCTCTGTCACCATTTGCTCGTGCGTCACTCTGGGATAGTAAGAGTGCCTACTGTACCTCTGGGTGCGCACAGCATGGCTGGGCCAGCACTTGGGACACCCTCCCGGTGTACGGAGGCGCGCTTGGGTCCCCATCCCATCTTCCTACCGACTGGGCAGCCTCCTGCAACTGACCTCATTCGTCCTTCTAAATCAGGTTCCTCATCTGGGAACAGGTTGAGGATGACTGGCAGGATCCTTTGAGGATTGAATAAGCTAACAAGTACCTGAGCAAGCCCTCAATAAATGGTAGCCAGTTACTATGAATTCCTGTTATCGGCAACTACCAAAGACAATGTTTGTGTTGCCCCAAAACTCATACCTTGAAATCTAATTGGAGCCTTTGGTAGGGGAATAGCTCCGCCCTCACGAATGAGATTAATGCCCTTATAAAAGAGACCCCAGAGAGCTCCTTTGCTCCTCATTTGAGGACACTGCAGAATGGCCCAACCAGAAAGTGGCTCTCATCAGACACTGAATCTGCCAGCACCTTGATCTTCGACTCCCCAGCTTCCAGAACTGTGAGAAATTTCTTTTGTTTATAAGCCCCCCAGTCTGTGGTATTTATTATTTTTTTTTTTTAAGATTTTATTTACTTAATTTGACAGAGAGAGACACAGCGAGAGAGGGAACACAAGCAGGGGGAGTGGCAGAGGGAGAAGCAGGCTTCCCGCCAAGCAGGGAGCCCGATGCAGGGATCGATCCCAGGACCCCAGGATCATGACCTGAGCCGAAGGCAGATGCTCAGCAACTGAGCCACCCAGGCGCCTGTGTTATTTTGGTATTTTGTTATAGCAGCCTGAACTGACCAAGACAGTGACTGATGAAGATCATCGTGTCCTGAGAGGGTGAAGGACAGAGCCTGATCTTAATGGGCCGGGTGGAAGCAATTCTGTCTCTCCCCGGTCCTGAGACTGTCAAATGTGCTGCTACCAACCTTCCGACTATCGCTGCTTTGCAGTTTGCCAAGTGCTTTCACATCAGAGCTTATTCAGTCCACCATTTGCATAGCTGCTCTTCATCCCATTTCACAAGTGAGGAAACAAGCTCCAGGAATGTATGACTTAGGAAGGTTTTCTGGCTCTCAATCTAACGTTTGCCCTCCACCCCCCCACCCCCACTCCAGCAAGGCTGTTGGAGTTATTTTAATTTGCTTTGTAATTCAGTCATTCATGCTCATCTTAGCTTTCTAACCCTGCTAACTTCCTAGAAGCAGACGAATAATGGAGTTGACTCCTTTCTGGGGCCTCCAGAGGGTTCTGGAAATAGTACATGCTCAAAAAATGTTTTGGAGTTTGGGGCACCGGGGTGGCTCAGTCGTTCAGCGTCTGCCTTCGGCTCAGGTCATGATCTCAGGGTCCTGGGATCAAGCCCCGCATCGAGCCCCGCATCGGGCTCCCTGCTCAGTGGGGAGTCTGCTTCTCCCTCTCCTTCTGTCCCTCCCCCTGCTTGTGCTTTCTCTCTCTAATAAATAAAAAAATCTTTAAAAAAATGTTTTGGAGTTAGCACCAAGTCAGAAAAGTTGAGATGATGCTGGTCGAGTCCCAGTGTGCACGTTGTCTCTTTGAGGGCCCCGGGAAAGGTAGGCACTGGGGCACGGCTGGTGGCTGAGTCGGTCCCCCAGTAGGGAGCAGTGAGGCCAGATGAGGACAGTGAGGACAGCTGTGGGGAAGGTAGCTCCGAGGAGGTAGGAAGGCACGTGCACTGGTCTCCCGCCAAGGCCCAGCTTCTGTGCTTGGGGGCCGGCTGCTGTGAGTGGCGTAGAGCAGGGGCCTGTGTCTCGGAAAAGAGCCGCTTGCTGGGCCCTGCTTCCAGCAGCCTGGGGTTCCCAGGGCGCTTCCCCCACGGCACCCTTACTCAGGCTCTGTGGGGCCTGGTGTCTGGTCTGAGGTAGCCCGCCCTGCTGGGAAGATGGGAGCAAGGAGGTGGCAGTCAGAGTAGGAGAGGGGGTTTCTGTGCTGGGTCCCGGGGAAGCAGAGCTAAAGTTAGGTCTTCCAGCTGTGTGCAGGTGTGGAATCCGCCCTTTCCCCTCCCTCGAACCAGGATGTTGGAATCACCTCCAGGCCCTCCCTCCCTCAGCTTCGGCTCCTCCAGAGGCAGGAGTTGAA